AAGTCAGTATCCCTCCGCGTCTGAGGAAAGCTACAACCGTAACGTTAACTAACATTACGTCCGTTACGAAATTAACTAACAAACAAACGGAAATTACAAACATGTAAGGGATAATGTGTAGCAAGGACTTATTGAACGGGACGCTCACATCTGGGTCAATATCACTATAAAGTACTTGGTGTCCCCATCAGAATCACTGTTATCATGAAAATATAGCAGAATAATGAAACTCTGAGGTCTTATTATAAAAGGCCAAACATTTACACACATATCAGTACAATGATAAGTCTCTTGAAATGTGTTTCCTTCATTTCATACCTTATTTTTTCATTGGATGTACATGATTTTGTCGTGAGATTGCTTAAATATATGCCAGGTAAAATAGGTTGTAAATTAAACCTTATTCCTCTTACTGTGCTTATGTATGCACCAAATGCTTCTCATGTATAAACATGATTCTGCACTGTGATGTAATCTTGGTTTTATTTGTCATATTTTCAGTCCTTTTTTTTTTTTTTTTATATATTCCGTGTAAATATTTTTGTTCAATGTTAAATACTTATACAAATATTGTCTTTTTATAATAGTTCTATTTTTGCTCCTTTACTTATTCCCTCATACTGTGTTGTATGCACCACTATTAACCACACCCAATTGCTTGCATGTTAAACCTTCTGTTCATGCCATATAAGCTAGCATTCATGTATTGTGATGCATGTAGAATTCATGTAGCATTAATAGTATATATTATATACTATTTATAATATAAACAAAATTATTGAAGTCACACCAAAAGACTGAATTATGTTTAAGACTCTTTATTAAGAGATGGTCCAATTTCACTATAATACATCATCATTTAAAATACATCTTACTGGCAGGCTTGTAGGATCCAGAAATAGAATACATACATTAAAAAAAACACACAAGTTGATATACTGAATGGAAAATACTTGTTTCCATACTCTGTCGTTTATATTTAATACCAGTGTATTAAAAAGGAGGTGTGTCCATACTGTGTGGACAGAACACATGCTTTACTGATGCTCATTCTTAAAAAGTAATAAAGCCCACTTTCTCATTGTCACTTTCTCTCATACACACTTCATCTACCGGCCACTAGGGGTCAGCTTTTTTGCCCCTTGCCGTTCGCACCTCCTCCATCAGCTCCTTCAGGTACTCGATCTCCCGGGCCATGGATTCGGCTTTCTCCGTCAGCTCCATGTTCTTCCTCTCCAGCCGCGTGTGCTCCTCAGACTGCGTTTCCTGCTCGCTCCTCTTCTTCTGCCGGTACCGCGTGGCAGCCGTCTTATTCTGCTCCATCTTCTTCAGTTTCTTCGCCTTCGGTGCTTTGAAGGACGTCTTTTCGTCGCCTTCCCGACCTTGTGGCTTGACTTTGGCGCTGGGAGACAGCGGCGGGCTGGTTCTACATGCAGGCTCTGGGTAGGGTCTGCTTCTGGGGGAGGGTTTTGGCGGAGGGGAGGAGGAGGAATGAACGATCTGCGACGTGGCGGTTACAGTGGTGATGCCGATTTCCTGTTTAGGGGCCAAAACCAGGAGGATTCGGGTGGGGGACAGGGAGAGCACTATCCTGGCGACTTGAGGGACGACTTGAGGGATGACTTGAGGGACGACTGGAGCCACCATCGGCTTCACCTCGCACTCCGAAACGTCCACTTCACTGCCCAAATCTAAGGTGTAGGCCGGGGAGGAGGGAGAATCGACCAATGGGGACGCAGGATCTGGAGATGCGGGCTCGGATTTGATTTCCAGCTCCGGGACGCACAGGGGAACGTCCTGGTCATCAAAGTAGCATTCAGGCTCATCCAGTGTAATAACAACGGGAGGATCTGAGCACACAGTGGGGGGAGGAGGGATACTTGGAAGAGAAGCAGAGGGGAGATTTGGGAGAGTGGGCAGTGGGAGGGAGTCAAGCTCCATGGGGCAGTCGAGGGAGGCGAGGAGGTCTTCTGAGCAGCTGGGGGAGTCTTCGTCGGGGATCAGAGAGTCCAGGTCGAAATCGCTCAGATCCACCCTCTCTGCCATCCAGTCGAAGTCACCGAACACATCCTCTGTGGGGGCAGAGAAGGCAGGGGATTAACAACGGACACAAACCCACATTTCTAGCTTTTAATTAGCAAAATGTTGTTAACTTTTGTATTGTTTCATTGCCGTTATTATATTATTTCAAATGTTATCATGTATATGCTGGATGTTTCCTAATAGGTCTTAATATTTGACAATTGAGAGCCTTATTTTCTGTCTGTCTTATGTTGTGTGCTCAATCACTTTTAGCTGCATCCTGTGTATGAAAAGTCCTATACACATTAGGGCTGCTCAATTAATCGCATTTTAAATCGCAATTAAGATTTTGGCTTGCAACGATTATGAAAACAACATAATCGAAATGAAACGATTATTTATTTTATTTTTTAAATAATTTTTTTTATTGGTTTTTCAGTTGAATTATACTTAAAATTCAGGGTAATCAACTGTTCACATTTTTCTTTTTAATAAATGGATGTTTTCAAAGTAAATTGATAATCGTTTTTAATAATCGTGATATCAATTATTTATCTAAATAATCGAGATAATGATTTTTGCCATAATCAAGAAGCCCTAATACACATAAGGCTTTTTTAAATTTCTATTATTACCTTTTATGTCATCTGAGACTGAGTTCTGTCTCAGGTGACCGGTGTGGCCCAACCAGGGGAGGGACAGCAGGTCAGACTCCATCCCATCTTTGTCCCCCTGCAGGAGGAGGGAGGACGGCGAGGGAGGAGGGGAATAAAATGGAGGAGGGGAGGAGGAAGTGGACAGCGATGAGGAGCTGAGGGGCGACACAGGTGACGTGTCCCCAACCAATGAGGTTCCTCCTCCTCCTCCTCCTACTTCCTGTTGATCTTTGAGGTCAGGGCGTGAAGAGGGGAAGGTGATGAGGTCAGCCATGGGAGAGGAAGGAGCCCAGAGAAGGGCCTCCATGTCTTCCAGGCCAAACAGTGAGTTGGTCATCATCGTGGTCATAGTGGCTGTTGTTGGTCACGAGAGGGGACCGTGATAGGAAGGGTTTGAAGTCTTTTATGCTGTTGTAAGCAGCAGTGGTGAGGGTTTCCAAGAAGGACCTGGGGATGGGGAAGAGAAGACATTTGTGGGTGAAAATCAGATCATTAGAAACATAATGAAGTTAATAAAGCCTATCTAGAGGTGTCCGCTGCCAAGTTAGAGGGTTGGACTCCTGAGAGAGCCGAACATTTCAGGCAATGTCATCCCTTCTATCTCCCCCTTTCAACTCTTCATCTCCAATAAAGGCACACAAGATTTTTTTTTTCTTAAATATATTAAAGT